TTTTTCTCGGGAGTGTACGGAGAGGACCCTAGTTTTGCCCCCGAGCTTACAGAAAATAAGTAGTTGCCATATTGAACTATTTCTTGGCAAAATTGACGTATCTAACGGCAAGGGCTCGAACACTCACAACTAACAGTGGTGCTATTAATTGTCCGCCCCTACAAAAATGTTATGATTAATCCTCAGGTGTTTCTACATGACTTTAATTTGTTTTAGCGAAGGCATGGACGGAGTACAAACCTCTTTGTTCATTTACGGCTCAACATACATTTCGGTGCTAATTAACAGCACCCTTGAACGGCGTTGCTGTTCAGAAAGCAGGCGCACGCGGGCTTAGTCGGCCGCCAACGTCCCTGAAGCCACAGATCCGGCCGCGGCCACTACATGCTGAGCGCCTTATTCTTGGCACTCGGCAAAGACCCTCTTTGCCGAGTGCCATGCTCCGACATTCGGCAAAGTTTTTTTATTTTTTTTTTGTTTTTAGCCTCCAAATTTTTTGTGCAGCCCTTTTAAAGTACCAGGAACTCTTAATTAGAATTTGGGAATTTTTTGTGGCTTTTTGATATATTTAGTTTATTTCGTTTACTTGAATTTTTTCGAAAAATATAAATTTGAACTGCACGTGGTACGAATAATGAAATTTAATGATTCAAAAATGATAGTCATGTTAGTGAGTGTAGTGTGAGGCCGTATCCAGGAATAGACCCGAAATTTCGGACATCTTGTTCACGAAACATGACCGCGAACTTGCGTGCGAAGTGTTTTTAAATTCTATAAAAAGCAAACGAAGTCCGAAAATCTTGAAACTTGTTGAGATGTCGTGATATCGTATGTGGAGGCTATGATAAAAAATTTGAGAAGGTTTGGTGAACGTTGTCACGTACGATGCCGTGTCAGGGGCACTCAGCAAAGTATTTTCCAAAAAAAAAACTTTGCCAAGTGCCTAACAACAGACACTCAGCAAAGAAGGACGTGGCCGAACACCGTTACGCGGGGCAGCCTATGCCGAGGGCCGCGCTTTTGCCGAGAGTCTGGCACTCGACAAAGAAGTCCTTTACCGAGTGCCGGTTGTTTGCCGAGTGTCCGGCACTTGGCAAAGAACTCTTTGACGAGTGCAATTATTTGCCGAGTGCTCGATTTTTGATACTCGGCAAAGCAGTTTGCACTCGGTAAAGGCTCTGTTTTCAGTGGTGTATATGTTCTACTATGTCTAAAAATAGAAGACCCACACAAGCAGATTTATCTGCAATCCTATCAACTCACGTCACCGCCTAGGGTCAACTTCTCTCTACCTTCTTTGATGCAACAAAGACCATTTCCTCTCTTCTCTTCTTGGTGTTGTACATGTCGGCACCTATTCTCCTTCTAGCATGTGAATGGACTAAAAACTCACTACTGGATTCAGGTTCTTTGCCGAGTGCCTGAGGCACTCGGCAAAGGCTATATTGCACTCGGCAAAGCCTTTGCCGAAAGCGGCACTCAACAAAGCACACACGGCAAAAAAATTGATCGGCAAAGCACTCTTTGCGAAAGTGTATTTTATCGGGCACTTTCGGCAAAGGCTTTTGCCGAGAGTGCCCCGAAACACTCGGCAAAGAAAAAGCGACCATCACGGCGCCGATCCGTTGAGCGGTCACTTTGCCGAAAGTGTCGATTCTCGCCGGCACTCAGCAAAGATTTTTTAAATTTTTTTAAAACTTTCTTTGCCGAAAGTGCCAACCCGTGAGGCACTCGGCAAAAGAGCTTTTTTTTTTTTTTTGAAAATTTTCTTTGTCGAGTGCCAAACCTCCGTGCACTCGGCAAATATTTTTATTTTTTTTGAAAAATTCTTTTGCCGGCGTCAACCCGGAAGGCACTCGGCAAAGACTTGTTTGATAATGTTTAGAGTTTATTTTATAATTTTAGGGAATCTTTTGTAATATATGCCACCACCTAGAAAAAGTACTAAAACCTTCCTTCTCACCTCACGAGAGAACATAGTTCTCTTTTCTCTCTTCTTCTCACTCTCCTTCCATTCTTTTGCACGAGAGAACAGAGTTCTCTTTTTCATGAGAGAACGGAGTTCGAGAGTAGCAACTAAAGAAAACAACCAACCACACTTGGGAAGTAATGAGTTTTGGAAGCACACCTCGGTTCTTTTTCTCGGGAGTGTACGGAGAGGACCCTAGTTTTGCCCCAGAGCTTACAGAAAATAAGTAGTTGCCATATTGAACTATTTCTTGGCAAAATTGACGTATCTAACGGCAAGGGCTCGAACACTCACAACTAACAGTGGTGCTATTAATTGTCCGCCCCTACAAAAATGTTATGATTAATCCTCAGGTGTTTCTACATGACTTTAATTTGTTTTAGCGAAGGCATGGACGGAGTACAAACCTCTTTGTTCATTTACGGCTCAACATACATTTCGGTGCTAATTAACAGCACCCTTGAACGGCGTTGCTGTTCAGAAAGCCGAACAAAGACACGAGATTTTGGAAAGCCGAGGACAACAGAAGATGCTATATTTCAGAAAAGCGAGGCGGCCATCAAGCAAAGTAGCAGTTGGATCCAGTTGTGGATAAGCCAACTCTCGGCCCACTGGATTTCTTCAGCGGAGGGACAGCCGTCGGCACGCGGGCATGAGCATCGGCCGCCATCGCACGGTGTGGGCTCGGCCATCCCAAGCCGCCGCCTTAGGCCCCAGGCATGGCCGCTGCAGGCGCACGCGGGCTGGGCCTGTTTGGTGTGTACAGTACATCCAAAAATTTCTGTCGCATAGAATGTTTTGACACATACAATATTAAATATAGACTAATTACAAAACTAATTACACAACTTACGACTAATTTACGAGACGAATCTTCTAAGTCTAATTAGGTCATGATTTGACAACGTGGTGCTACAGTAAATATATGCTAATGACGGATTAATTAGGTTTAAAAATTCATCTCACAAATTAGCCTCTATCTATGTAATTTATTTTGTAATTAATCTATATTTAATGCTCCTTATTAGTATCTAAATATTTGATGTTACATAAATTTTAGGAGCGACTAAAAAACCAAACACCCCTTAATCGGCTGCCAACGTCCCTGGAGCCACAGATCCGGCCGTGGCCACTACATGCTGGCGCGGGACGCGGGCACGATCCCGCCGGCCATGAGAATTGGTTGACATCAGGGATGAAGCCAGAAAAAAATTTAGGAGGGGCTAAACAAAAAAATAGAGGCTTTTTATCTTCTCTTAACCTTAGTCCCTCCTACCTAATATATATATGCATAAAATTTTAAGGGATGGCTTAGGGGGCTCCACATGCCCAGGATCGGTAGGGGGATAGAGCCCACTCAGCCCCACAGTTGGCTCCGTCGCTGGGTGACATGATTGAACTAATGATACTTGTTTGGTATAAAAAAATTAGTATTTTAATATACTTGGTTAAACTTGAGAATGATTCACGTATCAAAATATGAGACCTCGACTTCTTTCACCTGGAGAAAGTGAATACTAAAAAAGTCACTGACAGGGCGCAGTGGCTGCTCATTCATGTATATAAATGCTGCGGAACACAAGTTGCAGTGCAGGGCTTAGGGAGTGTTTGGTTCGAGCTACTAAACTTTAGTAGCTACTAAACGGTTTAGTCACTTTTAGTAACTCCAGAGTTACTAGAAAGGACTAAAGCCTTTTTAGTAGCTTTTAGTCATAACATTTGGTTAAAAAGTTATTAAAGTGATTAAAAGCTACTAAATTTAGTAGCTACTAGATGAATCAAACAGGGGCTTAATATTATCGGCGTAGTACTGACGATGATAGAAACTTCGATGTGAATGTGTGATGAGCATTCACGGGACTGAATTTGTTCAGTCTGATGGTGAAGTCACCTCCTAAACAGTGTTTCTATCTGACTTAATTGGCTTGCGTGTGATAGAATAGAATAGGATAGGCCTGGTTCAGTAAACGAGATCCACTGCGATGGATCAGCATGAGAAAAGCGTATAAACGCACATAAGTACTAGTTTGTCATGGCCCAGCATGAGAATTATGTGCGTGCAGAGTGCGACGGCAGCTGCCACCCGTTGCCGGCTTCGTGGTTGCATTGTATCCACCCATAAATAGCATTGTCCCAGTAGATACCTTGCCACCACAGACTACATTACGACCAACTAACCACTATGAAAAATCTCCACTGCACTCAGATCTAACCCAAGACATCAACCGAAAACTGAAGGCAATAATAGAGGACAGGGGTATAAATTTCCAAACGGGGCGCGCGAAATGGGCTGGCACGGGCCCGGTGCGAAAAAGCACGGCCCTAGCCGATGCACGGCCTCGGCTCGTGCCGATGCTCGTGCCGGCCGTATTCTGAAGCAGGCGTGCGTGCTCGGGCGAAAGGTCGGCCCATAGTGCCGGTCCAGGCATGGCCTGTTCCAACAGGCGGCACGGGGCAGGCACGGCTCGCAGCCGTCGGATCGCGGACGCGGGGCGTGAGCCGTTGGATCGCCGGGCGGCCGGGGGGGGGGTCGGTATATAAGCCGCCCGATGCGGCCGCTCTCCCCACTCCCCTCACTCGTAACCCTAGCCTCTCGCCCTCTCCTCTCCGGCTCTCCCCGCTCACTCTGTCGCTCGCCCACTCCTCGCCGCACTCGTAACCCTAGCTCCTCGCCTGCTCGCCGCTCTTCGCCGCACTCGTAACCTGGGCTCCTCGATCAACGTCGTCATCATGGAGTCTTCCGGCGGGTAAGGGGTCAGTTCCGATGGCCGGTGGTTCCCTCTTCTCCCTCTCCGCCCTCAATCTCCCTCTTCTCCCTCAGATCCGGTGGTTCCCGCCCTCAATCTCCATCTGTTCCCTTATTCTTCATCCCTGAACGTCGATTGAGACTCGTTGTCGTCGTTTACGGGGCTCCGGCCATAGAGGTAAGGGTAAACCCTAACCCTAACCCTAACCCAAACCCTAATCCCCAACCTAACCCTGCTTTTATCTATTGATTGTGGCAGCCGTTGAGGAACCAGAGACGGCAGAGATGGCCCTAGGCGCCGGGCGACACGACGACGGGGAGTTTGACCACTCCCAGAACGACGAGCTGCGTATGTGCGGGATGGCCGGAGATGATGAGGACGATGTTGTCCGCGAGGACGCCGCCGTGCTCTTGGGCGTTTCATTGTTGATCCCTTTCCGTCGATGACTCGAACCCCCCAGTCGACGTGGTTGATGCCGACGGTGGCCATAGCGAGGTTAGCCTGTCGGTTCTAATCGCCCTTCCACGTCTGCTGTCTAGGAGGACTTTGAGAAGCACTACAAAACTGAGAAAGGTAGAAAGATCAGGTTTGCTGCCACTTGCCTTCATTGCCATAAGCGCTACTCTGCTTATTCTGCTCATGGCACTGGGCATCTTACTCGACATCTTGCTAAGTGTCCTAAGAAACTTGAGAAGACCTAGGGCATGACTTAGACTCATATTGCTTTTAATTCTGATGGTTCTGTTCGTCGTTGGGAGTACAGTGCTAAGGTAGCTCGTGTTGAACTTGTTTGTATGCTTGCTAGATTGGACCTAACTCTTATGATTGTTGAAACTGAGGCATTTAAAGATTATATTAAAACTGCTCATAACCCTAATTTTTTTTTGTCTCTAAGCAAACCACTAGTAGAGATCTGTTTAAATACTACAATGAGAAACATGATAAATTGATGGTACATTTAAAGGATAATGTTGTTTCATCTGTTGCTATTACCTCTAATATATGGTCTGGAAAGGCTAAAGAAGATTATTTATCTGTTGTGGCTCATTTCATTAATGCTGATTGGCAATTAGAGAAAAGGGTACTTGGTTTAAGGTTGATTGATGTGTCCCATAATGCTAAGAACATTGCTGAGCATGTTGCATCTGTCCTTGCTGAGTATGGTATACTTAATAAGGTTTTTTCTGTAACTTTGGATAATGCATCTGCAAATAAAAATACTATGAATAAACTGAAACCTATACTTAAAGAATATTTGGGTTTTGATCATTCTAGGAGTGTTTCTGCCACTTCCTTGCTGCAGGCAGCAACTGCTAGTTCTAACTCTAGTGAACTTGCATCCTACCTGGATTGTGACACAGTAAGCTAGTTGGATGATGAGTTTGACATCATGAAGTGGTGGCATGAGCACAAGCTTACTTATTCAGTACTTTCTGTTCTTACTAAAGACATTTTGATAGTGCCTGTGTCAACCATTTCTTCAGAGTCTACTTTTAGCTTAACTGGCAGGATCATCGAGGAGCGGCGGCGGAGGCTGAACCCTGAAACTATAGAGGCGTTTACCTGCATCAAGGATTGGGAGAATGCTGAGACAAGACTGCAGCACATGGTGGAGGACAAGGAGCTGGAAGAGGCCTTTGCTGGTCTTTATCTTGATGTCGACTAGTTCACTTTCCATTTATGTAATGGTTCTATAATAACTGAGACTTGGACTTGTGGTGATGGATGTAATGAACAATTAATCTAGGTGCTGGCTGTACTATTTTTCTGTTTAGGGTTTCTCACAAGGATGAGTTTTACCTAAACAGGTTTTTAATGAGGTAGTCATTGCACAACTCCTACTTAAATTAGTTTTAGTTTTAAAAGTTTATGTTTTTTTGTTGTGCCGTGTTCTGATCTGTTTTTGATCTTTTATGAACTTAGTCATTTTAGATCTCTTTGAATTGCTGTGCTGAGTTTATTGAGGGGTTTTGCCAGTTTAGTGCCTGGAGTCAGCATGGCACGATACGGCACGCTCTAGGAATGATAGTGTCGTGCCTGGGCCTGGAGTCGGGCACAGTGGCACGGCACGGCATGGCATGGTTCATCAGCCGTGCCTAGCGAGCCGTGCCCAGGCGTGCCGTGCCGGAGCAGGCTAGTGCCGTGTAGTGCCGTGCCAGCACGTTTGGAAAACTATAGACAGAGGCAGAGATCCGCGCAGGCCAGCAAGTCAAGTCGTCGACCCCCACTCACGGCGGAGCAGCACATGTGCTCATCACTCATCGGTGCCATCTCTAAAGACACCTGCAGTATCAGCCTCTCAAATGCCAATGAGTTTTAACTCGTAGTGTGAGCTAGCATTACCGAAAACAGTGATTTTGACCGTATGCCACATGCACTCGGTAAAGACCAAAAAACACTCAGCAAAGGTTTTGCCGAGTGTAACACTCGATAAACAGCACATGGCACCTACAGTGTCGAAAAAATAGCTATTTGCCGTGTTTTTTATCGCGCACTCAGTAAATGTTTTGCCGAGTGTCAAATTTGACACTCGGCAAAAAAAGTGGTTTGCTGAGTGTTTTTCCAAAATACACTCGGCAAAGGATTATTGTTTGCCGAGTGTTTTTGGGAATTACACTTGGCAAACCTATTTTTTCAAAGAAAAAATAATAATTTTTTTCTCATCATACCATTATTGTTTGCCAAGTGTTTTTGGGAATTATACTCGGCAAACCTATTTTTTCCGAAGAAAAAAATAATTTTTTTCTCAGCATATTTCAGTTTAATAGCTGCCATACAAAACACTCTTAGTACACCATATCTACATGCACATCATGCTCCTGACAACATAATTCTCTTAATAACCACATGGACATAGAAATGAAGATGACAAATTTAAGAGACTAATGACAGGTATAAGTTCAGAAGAATCGATAGCGGGCCCCGACAGCAGATCCGGCCGTCACAGCCTAGCCACGTTCCCAGGCATGGGCGTTGTAGGTGCACGCGGGCTTAGGTGGTGTTTGGTTGCCCCTCCTAAATTTTAGTCGCTGTCCCATCGAATGTTTAGACACATGCATGGAGTATTAAATATAGACTAATTACGAAACTAATTGCATAGTTTGCGACTAATTTGTGAGACAATTCTTTTAAGCCTAAAAGCATCTCCAAGAGTTTCATACTTTTTTCTCCTAAAAACTTATAGTTTGAGCACTTCTAAAAAGATTTGGGGAGGAAAAAAGAAGATCATCTCCAAAAATTTCTAATAAATGACATTTAAAAAAAATCAATTTTGGGACCACATGAATTATGTTGCGGCCTGAGAGGAGGAGCTCGCGCACGTCGTCGGCAGCTTGCACTTGAGATCCAGCAGCCGAAGATGCACCAGCAGCTGCAGCTTGAGATCCAGCAGCCAAAGATGTACCAGGAGTAGACATTTTCCCCTTGAAAGAAAAAACATCAATACTCAGTATTCACATACAGTCACAGTGACACACGGAACGCAAAGCTTCTTAACACAGACGTGTAGGCAGGCGTGTAGCCGGCCAAGAGCATTACTTGAATATACACATATACATGGCGAGCAACTGCGTCGGCGGCGTACCGACGTTCACGTACATCAGGTACTCGAACGACCTGGTGATGATCTTGGACTCGACGCCGCCGTCGGCCGCGGACACGGGCGCGGCTACGGGAGACGCGCCGCTGTAAGAGCGCCCGAGCACCCTCGCCTGGAGCGCGGCGGGCTTGCGCGCCATGCAGCGCAGCGGGCATGCTTGGGACAGCGCGGGGAGGCGGAACGGCGACATGGCGGAGTCGTGGTGGATGAAGTCCACGCTGAACCCGCCTTCACCGGCAACAACAGAGGCCGTGCAGGTGCAGCCTCGTTGCCCGGCGAGGAGGAGAGTGAACAGAAGAAGCATAGTCGTCGCTTCCATGCGAGGTGGCGCCGCCGGCTGGATTCAGGTGTGGAGGAGGAAGCCGTATCCGCGCGAGTGGCGTCCTCGTAAAGTTACGTAGTGCGTAAATTTTAGAAAAAAGTATTAGGAGTTGTAGGAGAATGTTTTTTTCTAATCTTTCTAAAAACTTAAGATTAGGAAGGGGTTTAGGAAACTCTTAGAGATGCTCTAATTAGTCCATGATTTGACAACGTGGTGCTACAGTAAACATATGCTAATGACGAATTAATTAGGCTTAAAAAATCGTCTCGTGGAGTACTGACGGATTATGTAATTTGTTTTTTTTATTATTATCCGAATACCCTATGTAATATGCTCCTGACACATCTTCAAAATTTTAGTCACTGTATCCTATCACCATATTAGTCGGCCGCCAACGTCCCTGGAGCCACAGATCCGGCCGCGGCCACTACACATGCTGGCGCGGGACGCGGGCACGCTCCCTCCGGCCATGAGTCAGGCGCCGGCGCGACCCAGGCTAGAGCAATCTGTTAACGGATGAGAATTGGGTGACATGATTAAGCTAATGATGCTGGTTTGATATAAAAAATGAGTTAAATGCACCATAGGTATATTAACTTGTGAGAAGGTTTCGGTTAGTTTGATTAACTTTCAAAGTGGCTTTTTGGGTCCATAAACTTTGTACGCCGTATCATTTAGGTCTATACCTCTCCACATTAGCTTCTCGTGCTCACGTGGCATGATGCCGTCGCCATGCAGGCCAGCCGCAGCCCCGCGGGCGCGCGAGCAGAAGCCGGTGACGGCGCCGCGCCACCCCATTTTGGAAGCTTGTATCTGTCCAACCAGGTTGAATTAGATTTTGGCACTTTAAGCAAAGTAGGAGATCTCACGTAGCTCTATAACATTTGTTACTATGTCTTATGCCAAAACTAAACGGATTCGGAGTTAAGAGGGAACAAAGATTGATGTTTTCGTGTATTTTTGCGGTAGTATTGCATGAATACAGAGCGCGGCCTCAGGACGATGGCGGCTGCGGCTGCGACCTCACGTGCACCACCGCCGGACCACGGTGCCGCACCGGTACGTCCTCGCGGAGAAGAGCAGCCCGGCCGGCAGCCCCAAGAACCGCAGCATCTCCCCTGCGACGGCCAACAACGCCAGCGCGCCGGCGCCGGCACCTCCGGGCTGGTGCTGTTCCGGCTGGCGCTCAACTGCATCCGCGGGCGGTACCGGTCGCGGTCGGGTGTGATGATCTTCACCCCGAAGCTGATCCGGCGTCCCGAGCACCTGGCGTTCCTAGAGAAGGAGGACGGGCTGTACATGGAGGCCGTCCTGCGGCAGCAGGTGGAGTTCTTCGACACGTCCAGGCCGTCCTCACCGCAGGCCATTTAATCTCTCCTCATCAATGTTTGAGCTGCCCAACGTCCTGGCGAACATGACAAGTCAAGTCCGCGCAGGCCAGCAAGTCAAGTCGTCGGCCCCACTCACGGCGGAGCAGCACATGTTGTGCTCATCACTCATCAGTGCCATCTCTAAAGACACCTGCAGTATCAGCCTCTCAGATGCCAATGAGTTTTAACTCGGTAGTGTGAGCAAAGGTTGGTCTAGAGAGTGGATTGGCGAAGGTGTGAGCTCTCTACGCCCAGCCACCAGCAAGCATGCCTCCAACTTGAGCCTTGCCACCACCACAGTAGGACTACGAAATCGCTACGCAAAGATCTGAACCAACCAAGAGATCAAGAAGCATGAGTGTGGTGACGGGGGCGCTGGGAAGCCTCGCCCCCAAACTTCTTCAGCTGCTCCATGACGAGTACAAGCTCCAGAAGGGCGTGAGGAAGCAGGTGCAGTGGCTCCACAGCGAGCTGGAGAGCATCTATGCCTTCCTCGGCGATGTCGCGGAGGTGCCATGGGATCGGCTCAACGGGCAAGTCAAGGTGTGGGCACGTGAGGTCAGGGAGGCATCCTATGATATGGAGGATGTCCTCGACACCTTCCTCGTGCGCGTCGAAGGTGGTGAGCCTACTGACCCGAGCAGGCTCAAACGCGCTATGAAGAAGATGGGCAAGGTGTTCAGCAAGGCCAAGGCTCGCCGTGGTATTGCTGGTGCCATCGAAGACATCAAGAAGAATCTTGAGGAGCTAGCTAAAAGGCGTCAGGATTACAAACTTGACGACAATGTGTGCAGGCCGCTCGCAACATCGTCAACTCTTGATCCCTGCATGAAAGCTATGTGCAAAGAAGTGACACGGCTTATTGGTGTCGACAAGTCAAGGGACGAGCTCATATCCAAGCTGAATCCATCCCAACCAGATGATGTTGCGCCTGACAAGAAGATCACCAAGAAGGTTTCTATTGTAGGAGTTGGGGGACTGGGCAAAACCACTCTTGCCAAAGCGCGGCGTATGACAACCTAAAATCGCAGTATGACTGTGCAGCTTTCGTTTCAGTTGGACGGGATCATGACTTGGTAAAAGTTTTCAAGGACATCCTCTTTGATCTTGACAAGATAAAGTATGACAACATTCATGACACTAGAAGAGGTGTGGCACTCCTAATTCGTGAAGTACAAGAATTCCTGGAGAACAAGAGGTACACATCAGCAACCCAATTGTAAATTGTAATTACGGAGTGCCTTTTAAGATGTTCTTGCTCAAAGTTAGTCGATACTACTAGTTTTCACTATGCTGTAGCTTATAGTAAAATATATTATCTCCACATATATCATCTATGCCAGATTGCTTCTTGAGATTCATTTTCTCCACTCCACACATATAAGATGAAATCTATTTATTCAGTTGTCTCTAACGTAACTGCTTTTAGCTCGTCTTTTCGAATGCCGAAAGATGTACTTCGCTCCCTGTATAAAAAGGCAACACACTATAATGTATTTATTAATTGTCCTTAGATTTTTAGAATATTTTCTTTCTGAAACTATAAACTTGAGGGAAAAAACACAGTTTTAGGGTTAGGCGGTCAGCTTGTGTTGCAACATGCCCTCAGGTACGTATGTTCTTTATAATAATGTGGCCTTAAATATGTAGATTTTTCAAAAAACCCCTTTGAATTGGTGTTTTGTTTCCATAAGTATTCCAAAAGTTGTAGGGTTAATTTTTTGAATTGCCTCTTCTATGATTTCCAACAGTGCCGATTGTTAGCCCGAAATTAAGATTCTGAAACATCAACAAATAGTTTTGTTTTTACTAGCGTGATCATGTGTTTGATGGTTTTTAATCTTAGTAAATATCTTGCTTCTGCAGAAGCTCCAAACATTACTAACCAATGGTTCTTGCACTTCCATGTGGATAGGTATTTTATTGTTATTGATGATGTATGGGATGTGCCCACTTGGGAAGCAATCAAACTGTCACTTGTTGAGAATAATTGTGGAAGTAAAGTAATCACAACTACTCGTAAGTTTGATGTTGCCAATGAAGCTGGTGACGTTTACAAGCTAAAACCTCTTTCTGATGATGACTCCATGAAGTTACTCTATACAAGGATATTTGGTTCAGAGGGGAAGTACCATGATAAGGAACCAGAAGATGTCATCAATAAAATTGTAAAGAAATGTGGTGGTATACCATTAGCAATCATGACAATGGCTAGTTTGTTGGCCGGTAAACAAAAGTATGAATGGTCTGAGGTGTTGAACTCTATTGGTTTTGGATCCAAAGGCAATATGGAAGCTGAAGAGACTATGACAATACTTTCATTTAGCTACTACGATCTGCCTCCACATTTGAGGACATGCTTACTATATCTAAGTACATATCCAGAAGACTATGTGATCAGAAAGGATTCTTTGATATGGAAGTGGGTAGCTGAAGGATTTATCGATGGGAAACAAGGTACAAGATTATTTGAGCTTGGAGAAAGATACTTCAACGATCTCATTAATAGAAGCTTGATCCAGGTGGTGGAGAACGACTTGGATGGAAAAGTATCAGGCTGTCGTGTTCATGATATGGTTCTTGATCTGATGCGTAAGCTTTCATCTGAAGAAAATTTTATGGCTATATTAGGTGACAATGTTAAAGGAACACCTACACTAAGCAATGTCCGTCGGTTAACCCACCAAAATGGAATAGCCGAGCACATTAATTCTGAAGCCATGGTTACTAGGATGCCAAAAGTGAGGTCGTATACTGCATTCATGTGTTCTATTGATAGCTGGGAACAATTTTTGAGATTTAAACTTTTGTGCGTGCTGGATATAGTGGGTTGCAACTTTAAGGAAGGTTGTCACCTTGAGCATCTTGGTGATTTACTTCACTTGAGGTATCTTGGAATACGGTGCCGAGGTCATGCCCTAGAGCTCCCAAAACAAATAGGGAATCTAAAGTTACTGCAAACACTAGATGTGGACGGAACGTTGCCAGCAAGCATTGTGCACCTAACAGAGCTGGTCCGACTACGTGCTTACAGCAAGGTGACTGATAGGATTGGGAAGCTAGTTTCCCTAGAGGAGCTGATAATATTCAATCATTGTGATAAGCCCAAAAAGTTTTTGAAGGAGCTAGGCACCCTGCGAGAACTCAGGGTGCTCATGTTCTTCGGCACTAAAGGGATGGAAGAGAGCATGCAGAGAGATTTTATGGAGTCTCTAAGCAATCTGCAAAAGCTCCAGCATATACACTTGGATGGTTTAGGTTGGAGCGTGGATACAGCCATGTGGGAAGCAGCAGGCTTTCTGCTCCCACGACCTCTCCAATATTTGTATTTGTATAATATTGAATTTTCTAAATTGCCGTCATGCATTAATCCCTTACGTCTTCGCAACTTGTCCCACTTGAGACTGTGGGTGACTACTATGGATGAGCAGGATCTGAAACTCCTTGCTAGGTTGCCAGCACTCTGTTTTCTTAGCCTGGAAACAAAGTCCACAGTAACAGCAAGTAATATTAACGCTGGTGATGGCTGCTTCTTCCAGAAGTTGAGGAAATTGTGGACCAATCTAATGGTCCAGTTTGAGCAGCCCAACACGGAGGACGCTAGCATTTCATTGCACATGTGGAATG